GGTATCTCTTTCAAACCTTCAAGAAGCGCCACTGAACCTTGTGCCAGGCTTCTGGCAGCAGCAAACGTCTTGCAGTAAGTGGCTCAAACAGAGCATTTCCAGTCTGGCCTAGGCCCATTCTTCAACAAAAACTCCTTCACTAGACGTTATTGGAAGACGAGACAATGAGTCCGACTGAACTGTGCGCCCCTCTGGTTCCTCTGGTTTTCCATAGGATTGAGATTTGGGATTGTTCTGGCCAAAGAAACATAATGGGATTTTGTCCTCAAGTCAGCCGTGCGTGGCCTGAGAGAGTTTACTGGGGTCTCTACATTCTTTACCAGTTCAGTTAGTCAAAAACTCAATGTGCACAAGTGCGCTAGCTTTGTGTGTTGTTTGCTGCCCAGTCTCCGGTCTTCCTGCTGTTTCTGGACTGTGTGTGGCAGCTGTGGGCACAGTACTCGTCCCACTTCGAGTTCACAGGCGACTACCTGCTGGCTCTGCACGACAGCGCCCACCTGCCCCTGTTCACCACCTTCCTGTCCAACTGCCAGCGAGAGAGGAGCCGCCGCAGTCAGGTGACCACCCGCGCACACGTACACACGTACATACACACACACTGACCTACACACTCACCTGCACACACACACACACTCACCTGCACACTCACCTGCACACACACACACACGCTCACCTGCACACTCACACACACACGCTCACCTGCACACACACACACACACGCTCACCTGCACACACACACACACTCACTTGCACACTCACACACACTCACTTGCACACTCACACACACACCTCCACACTCACACACACACTCACTTGCACACTCACACACACACACTCACACACACACCTGCACACTCACACACACACTCACTTGCACACTCACCTGCACACACACACTCACACACTTACCCCCCCACACACACACACACACACGCTCACCTGCACACTCACACTCATACACACACACTCACCTGCACACACAAGCACATACACACACACTCACACACTCTCTTGCACACACACTCACATACACACACTCCCCCATGCGTGCACAAACACACACATACACACACAATGTCCTATCCGATCTGCAGGAGGTATTGGAAGACAGTTTTATGAAATCCCTCTAAACTTACTCCGGCCTCTATAAACCTTCAGCTGAAACTGAGAAAACACACCCAGACAAGGGCCTCATATTTTTAGCCATTAAATCATGATGTCAGCACTTCCATTTGTGCTTATTTTAAAGGAATATGTAACTCATTTATTGGAGCACTTGACTTGTAGCTGCATTCAGACTGTAAAAGTCTAAAGAACAGTAAATTTGAGCTCATTTTTATGCAGCTCTCATCGGGAAGATAAAGACCCTTGTGTGAGCTAGCTGCCAAGTGACCCCGCAGCTGTGTGTGGAGAGGTCAGCTCCTTGTCCTCTTCCTCAGCATCTCTCTCAGAGCTACACTCCAGTCAAGGGCTGGCGGGAGCCCTCTCCGGAGTCCGCCGACCCCCTGCTGCCCAGCGTGTGGGACTGGGAGCTCCAGTACGGCCCCCCCAGACTGGCGCGATTCCGTCACCCCGTCGGCTCCCTGCCGCGCCCCGGGGCGGTCCCGAACGGCAGCCTCAGACACCCCTCGCCTCAGCGGGTAAGCGGGAACCATGCCCCTGCTTGTGTGGTTCATCTGTGTTTAAATCATTGACCCTGTTAATAATTGAGTTGTTTTCACGTTTAACAGGTCTTGATGAGGGCTAGATATATTGGGTCTTTGTGAATATACATGTATACAGGGTTAGTCAAAATGTTGTCGACAATTACAATGAAAAACACCTGACCTCACCCCCTTAGATGAGATTTTTATCCATGGGGTTTTGTGAGAGATTGTGTGTTTGTGCCTCCCCTACTCATAGGGCGTATCGCTGCAGCTCTCGACCAGATTGACAGCAATATGCTGGTGAAAGGGTGGCAGGAGTTTGATTACGGCTTGGATGTGTGCAGGGTCACACGTGAGGCCCATATCAAAGGATTGTAAGGTAACCGTCAGAAACTGTGAGATTTATGCTTTCGTCTGTCACAGTAACCCATGTAATTAATTTGTAATAAACTGTCAAAGTTGTCGACAGCATTTTGACTAACCCTGTATATTGAGCTGAAAAGTCCCCTGCAATGGACTGGCATCCTGTACAGGATGAATCCTACCTTGTGCCTGCTGCTTGCTGGGATAGGCTCCAGAGGGAATAAGAGGGATGGTTGGACGGGGGTGAACAGACCCTTTCTGGGGCCTCTCTAGTGACTCAGTCAGTGAAGGCGCTTGTCTGCACTTAGATTGAGCTCTGGGATCTGGGGTTTGAATCAGGGTCAGGGCAGTAGCTGACGGCAGTTGCCCAGTGATCCGATCGTCCTCTCCTCCAATCAGGACGGTCCTGCCTGTGAGCTGTTGAAAGGCGATTGGCTCAGAGGTGGGCGGGGCCGGAGGAGTCTGCCTACACTTCCTCATTCTCCCGTGGGCGGCCACGGGCTCTAGAGCCGCGATCCGGAGTGTGAAAAACACAGCTTTGGCGATTCCAGTTCCTGTGGCTATAACCTCATTTAAAAAAAGAACTTTTCTGTCCCTGTGCCTTCCATCCAGACAAAGAGCAGAAAGGTGCTGGAGATGTGTGCTGTGGGAACTGTGAGAAAGAGATGTCTTAGAGAAGGAGGGACCTGGTGAATTGAAAGAATAAGGGAGTAGGAGGTGTGGAGGGAATTAAGAAAAGTGAAAAGACCAAATTGGCCCAATTTAAATTCAGAGACATGAAAGTAGGTAAACTGCCAGGAAAGTAGAATGGATTCTGAATTATAGAAAAAAACAAACAAGGAATCACACAGCTGGTGTGCTTCCCCACCCGTAGTTTAATATGACATTTGAGCTATTCTGGTTCTGTTTGGAAGCTGTATTTTAACGGGATATAATTAGATGCTTGTGGCTCAGCCTTTTTTTCTGGAAAATGAAACATTTTTCATTGTTTAAAGCAAAGCCGGTTCTCTCCGCAGCCCAGCGAGGGGGGCTGTGCGGGACAGGGCTCCGTCTTCCTGCTGTCCAGGGGCTCCCTCACCTCGCCTTCCCACCTCCTGCCCTGGCGCGGCGGCGGGGGGCCCGGGGCCTCCCGGAAGAGCCACCGCCGGGCCCCCTCCTCGGAGAGCCTGCTGAAGCCCTGGGCCAAGCCCGAGCCCGGGCCCGGCCAGGGGCCCCTGCTGCCCCTCCTGCTGGGGCCCTGCGTGCAGGTCTGGAGGGCTTGCTACCTCCGGGGGGCGCTGCAGGCACAGGTGCGATCTGCTGGGTCTTTCTTATTAAGCTTCTGCGTTTTAAAAGCTCGTCCTGACATTTTCGTGTTTACGATGCTTTGTTTTTACAGAAAAATACCTTAGTTTTACTTATGTTCGGCTAAGTCCAATACTTTTACCTTGTTTTCATGTTTTTACTGTGGCTATACCATGATTTACAGGAACACCCAGTCTTGAGTTCAGTCATGCACGCCCCTTATCATCTGCTGGGGTGATTAATGGTACGACCCTAGTTTTAGATGTTGAAAATATGACAGAAAAATAGGGAATCGCAGACGTAAATCAAAGTGAATTGTACATACAAATGGGGCAGTACTGTTCTGAACAATTTCAGGTAGCTGGGTCAGCATGCGTAGGCTGCAAAGGAACAAGTAAAGGTTTATTCCCTGCTGAAAAGAGAAGAAAAGAGACGCAACGTTTGGGCTGTGGTGGAGCGTTCTTCGGGTGTGAGGGAGAGAGGGAATCCGGCACAAAAAAAAGGAGAACAAAAGGCAGGTTAGTTAAGAGCAGGCAGGGAGCAGGGATGAAGGAGTATCAACACTGGAAGAACTGAAAGAGAGCAGTGAAGTCAAAACCTGCAAATGAATAGAGAGGATTAGATGGAAACAACTCTGTTGTTGAGAGAAGAGGGAGGTGTGATCCTAGTTTCAGGATAATTTTGGTGTCCGAAACCGTGTTTATGCCATTATAATCTCTGGCCTTTACAGACCAACGGTCAGTGGAATGTGTCACTAAGACTTTATGCAGAATTGTATATTTGGTTAGCACGAATCCTGATTTTTCTGTTGAATTGACAGAATTATAAATCCTTCAGAAATGCAGCCTCCGCGTAACGTTTTTGTGAATGTCACTTAATATAATGGACATTTATTGAAGTATTAATGTTTAAATGCTGTGCTTAAACTGAAATGGGTAGCTGCAGAACAGGAATCTATAGCAGATGTTTTAAAGGAAAACCTTGTAACGGCTCTGATAATCCCACGACTTGTCTGGTCTGTGTCGCAGGCTCGCCAGCCCACTCCCTCCGGCCACCCGGTTGACCAGCTGGCTACCGAAGTCCAGCAGCTGCAAGAGCAGCTGAATCGAGCGGCTGGCGTCCGCAGGCTGGACCGGCCGGGCAAGAGGGTGGACACCCGCAGACCGGACCCCAGCCCCGGTCTTCATCGGGGGTCCAACAACTGCACTTTTCTTTTCTCTGGCCACCGGGCGCCGGGCCCCGGGGACCCCAGGTGTAACCCTGCACCCCCGTTGATCCACCCGCGCCCCAGCAGGGACAGCAAGCGCACATTCCTCTTTTCCCACCCTGGCGTCGCCAACGGGGGCTCGGGCGCGGCAGAGCAGCGCTATGCACCTCCTCCTACGGCCAGGAAGCCCAGGAACAGTGACCACTCCCTGTACTCATGAGGGCGGACCACGCCGGCCTTCGGGCTGCTGCCCTGTTACTGTCCCAGCGTCGCTCGTGCAGGATGGAGTAAAGTAAGACCTGGGTTTCCAGGTTCAGCCGGACAACTCCCAACCCTGAAGCAAGACCCAGACTCACCAAAGCACAAACCCCTGCATCTGTACAGCACATACCTGCGCTTCTGTGCAAGAGGGGTACCTACAGCAATAAGACTCAGTGGCACTTATTTATCGGTTGTTCCCTGCCTGCGCTGTATCCGAGTGCAGCTCCTGCAGTCCTTCTCGAGGGGCTGGTATAAATCAGTTGAATTGCCGTACCAGTGTGTGGCCCGAACTGTGACATTTCTTACCTTCTGTACAAAAGCAATAATATGAACTGAAAGGGCTTGAGATCTTTCCAGTCGCTCTGAGTCCTGTTCATGTACCATTAGCGGTGTGTGTGAGAAACATAGACTCTGCGTTTCTGGGCAGTGATAAAGACATTGCGAGGTACGTTTTCATTTGTGCTTGGCTCGTTTCAGAAACGTATTTGTGGCTAAACTGGGCTCAGCTTCATAGTCAGGAAGTAGAAGAAACGAAAATAAAAGGTGGATTCAGGCTACATGTTTGCTGGAGTTACAGACATTTGGTTGATCAGGGGGAGCTGTATTCATTAACGCAGTGGCTTATAGCTTCGCCGATGATCACCCATGGATTGACAGAATGGCAGTGCAATGTGTAAGCCATCATACCGCAGTCTTCCCTAGGTTAGGTGAGGCTGAGACTGCTCTGTACGGTGGGATTGTATTATGGTGTGTTGGTGAAGCTGTATGTGAGTCCTGCATATGAACAAAGGACTGTAATAAAGACAGTATCAGACATTATTATACACTCACCAAATAAAATGTTAGTAACTCCTGATCAAATGGGTGTGGTCTACGTGTAGCAAGATGTCTTTTATGACTTAAGGCTTACTTCAGAATCAGAAAAGACCCTCAGATCAGTTTTTTTTCATGGTCGGTTTACATGATGTTTACAGTTCCCCCTTGTGTTTCTGTGACACAAGTTTGGAAAATAGACAAAGCATTCGTGTAAGTAAACTTTCCTTCTTCAGGTGAAGCAAGTCTTCTCTTGCAGAAATACTGTCAATGACTGGAATCCAAGAAGAACATGGATTTTGATTGCCTCTTCGCATTTCAAGTAAGAGTTGTTTGCCGAGAATTACCATTAAAACCGTACAGTACGTGTTAGAATCAGCAGTTTAGGCTCAGTGTTAAGACATTCGTACCAGCACAAGAGTATGGAAGCCAACGTATGTGCTACCTCTGACCTACACACTGTTAGTCTACTCCACATCAGCAGCAGAGCTAACACACTGAGAGCAGGGATCTCACTGGCACCTGATGTGGCTTTTACTGATCAGATAACAGCTGGCAAGCCACTGGGGTCACTGCAATGTGGCGGATTGAGGAATGGTTGTACAGTTGTACAGGAACTGTAACTACTGGTACTTGCAGGTTTTCCCCCAAAGGCAAACTGTATTCTCCACCGAGGGGCTTCTGTTAAGTACATCTTTTTAAGCAAATCCATAAATCTAGATCTGAAGCACCAGTTAACAAAAGAATAGTATATACACTATATTTGTTTAGATACTTGCTTGAGAGGATCCTGGAGATGTTCAGTGTTTCAAGGATTTACCTTTTAAGGTCAAAGTTCTGTCTCTGAGAACATCTGTCAAACAGTCATTTTTCTGCCAGCGTTCTTTGAGGGAGGTGTTGGTTTTATTTTTCACCAGTTTTAACGTTATGGAAAATGTCCAGATATTTATTGTATGGCTTCTGTGCAGTATTTGTAAGGAACTCCGGCTGCCAGATTTGTTCATATGTCACTTTAAGCAGTAGTTTCATTTGATTATGAATTAAACTAAGCATATGTACATATAAGATAAGTTTGCTAACTGTAATAATTACTACGTACACATGGTGAACAATACTCCCCTATTGCACCCCAATACACTTAAGAAGTGCTAATTCTGAAGTTTGTGCTTACTGCTTCATCTTGGAAGAGAACTCCATTTCTTAAAGAGGCCAAGACTTTCAGTAAGCCGTACAGAGGTAATTGGACCAAGATTTTGTTCATATTAAATACAGTGTTTTAAAGTCTTTCTGTAAGCACATGATTTAGTTCACAAGTTCTCTCTAACTGTAATTTAATTGAAAAGATCTGTTTCTGATGATGCTAACTCTCAGTAATGAATATTAATGTTATTTTTTGTTCGTATAGATGCATCTGTGTTTTAGATGGTACAGAATCTAAATGTAGCCTTTTCTGATAATTGTTTGCTTCTCCGATAATAAATTTCTTCCACATGGTCATCTGGCTTCGAACTTAAAATCAGCTTTGGTATTTTTTTAAGCAACACAATAAAATGATGCCCAGTGTGGGGAAGATGTTCCATGCACATGATGTGGATTCATGTTGAATAAATAAAAGATTTAAAGTATGCATACTGGCCTCAATATTAGAAGCCTACACTGAAAAAGCACCACGGGTTTCAGCAAGGAGCGTCAACAGCTCAAATGGCAGTTTCTACAAGGTTTTGAAGTATTTCCAACCCAGTCCCATCCCATCGTTCGAGCAGGACCAACTACGGCTGAGGCCGTGATGGTGGGTGTGTGGGAATGAGCTACGTGCCACCAGCTTCTCTAGTTTTTAGTGCAATTGAGATCAGTGAGATTTTATCTGGTTGAAAAGGGGATGGAAGTCAGTCTCAAGACAGCCCATTGCCCGTCACTAAGAGGGTTCATTCATTTGGCTGGGGGGTTCGGAATATTTTGGCCAGTGGCTGCATTTGTTGGGTATTGTGGAGTTCAATGCTTTTATTCGCTCCTGGAGTTTCACTGGTGTACTGGAGGTTCTGCTCTTTTGTTATGTAATGTCTCACTGATTGCAGACAGCTTTATACACTTACATGGTTCTCAAGGGTCTTGCTTAAGGGTCTTGCCATTGTAAACTAATATACCAGCTCCACAGCTGGGGAACTTGGGCAACTTGGGGAAGAATTTCAGCGTTGCGCATGAAGGGGTTTAAATGTTATGGTGCAACACTGATTTACTTCCCCCCTACTTCCTGGCAGCAGGCCTCCCGGGTTCTCTTTTTTGTTTTGTCTTAATTAACCCAGCCATGCCAACTTTTTCATAACTAATCATCCCTTCATATCCATATGATTTTACTTTTGAATATTTTCATTTCCCCCCCACATTGCTCGGTTTAGCCTGCAGGCACACTGTAAAAATACAATTGGTTTTGATCAGGGCAACCCATAACCTGCATAAAGCCATAGCTGATTAAAAATAAAACTTAATAGCTAGATAAAGATAATATTATAGTTTTTATTTTGGATGGAAACATTTCCGTTTGTGATAATTATGTGAAATAACTTATGACGTTAATATTTCAGATTTATTCACTTCCAATTCCAAAGTGCCTATCAGCAAGGAGAATTACATACTCATATTATTCTGAATTCATGAAACATGGCATGGGAAGGTTCATTTTGCATGACCTAGAACAATGTGTTTAAATAGAGCTGTAGAACATATGCAGCACAGACATGCAGAAATCAAATTAGACAATGTGCACTTATCTTGCCAGGCTTATTACTGTTGAGTTATTTCCCTGAAGCAGACTACAGCTCCTCCACACAGCTTTCAACATGTGAAGTGTTAAGATCTGCGACATACTGTATAGCGTGGGAAGACACATTTGGATATATGACATTTTTGTAATGCCTTATTTAATAAACAAAAGTGCAATTAATCGATTAAGGTTTAGTCGGGTCTAACTGCAACCTACTATATAAAACCAGTAGCATGTGGGTTTACAATATCGTTTTGCCATTATCAGCGATCAAACAGAAATCAACATGCAGATTGAAAAATTTAGGAATTATAGGCAGGGAATCTCATCTTGCATTTCACTTAAGTTAAGTGTTAAGTGACAGACAAAGTGTTTGCATGTGTATCTAGTAATAATAACTCTCTCATTTGATCCCACTGTCTGTAACCGTTTGTAAAATAATGGTTTGAAACACCCCCAAGGTAATAAGAAGAAAGAACTCTATTGTTTTCTAAAATTAAATACACTGTATACACCTAGATCCTTTATTGAAGATGTATCAGTTAACAGGTTTTATTACACAGGTGTTAATACTTTTGAAGGAAACATTTTTGATACAGTTCTAGTAAAAAACTGAGACCATCTTGGGACAATATCTTAAATCACGAACATTGGCTGAAAGTTCCAGTTATTCATCATAAACATGCAGAACGTACTGTACTCTGCCTTTTCACACACAAACCTCTCTGACAAGGTTGGTTCAGAAGATCTGCTTACAGTCAATGATGTGCAGTCAGGTACTCTAGATTGTGCTCCTCCTCACATGTTGTCAGCTTTATAAATACGATTCTTTTGGATTTTCATGAAAAAAATGCATGATCATGCAAAATCAAAGTGGTGTTAGATCTAGGAATTTGGCTCTTTAAACTCACTCTCCCAAGACAGTAGACGAAACAACCTTGTTGTTTCTATCTGTATTAAAGCCACAACATTCCTAACATCCCTTTTTTCTAAATCTCTGCCTGATCAGATGGAATAGCTGTGGAAATGTGTCTCTCCACGTGACAGTGGCTGTGGGTAAAGTTCTCAGCCTGCCTCGCTCTGCCAGCTGTCCTCTAACCTTCATCCTCAAGAGGCAGGAACCTCTTCCTTGTCTAGGGAAATAATATGGCTTTTCTGATACAGTTCTTGCAAACTGTTGGCCCCCCTAGCCCTTAATTATTTTTATCAGGAGCTCCTGGCTCTTGTCTGGAGGGTCTGGAATTCTGGTGTGATTTTCTGTGTCTTTTTAGATAACAAGAGGTTTAGTATCTGATAAATATTAAACATAACAGGGTCATTTAAATTCTTCTCCATAGAGTTCTAACTTAAAGACGCTGGAAGCCTGCAAGATTCTAGATTCTAGTTCTCTAAGGATTTAAGGACTGGAGGCATGAACTTCTAATCTAGATGGTCTTCTTCAGAGAATTCAGAGAGGTAATAGCAGGAACTTGAACAATGGTCACGTTCCATGCAATGCTGATTATCCAGGTCCAGAACAGGCCACTCCATCACATCAGGAACCAAGCAGGCTCACGTCTTTGCTAAGCAAACTAGTCATCACCTCACTCGGGTCACTAGCTGGATCGAGAGAGGCTACATCCCAGTGTTTGAAGGACAACAATCTAACAAGGAGTCTTGTTTTTCCGTGCCCATCTATGGTATGGAGACCCACTAGCACCACACTTGACCTGTCTTTTAGCCAGTCCATTGTGACATGGGGTATTGACAGTCTGGACAACAGTCCAAATGAGCTATTTTGGCATATTGGTTTCCAAGAAGCTTTGCAACTTAAACATTGGTGCTCAATAACTGGTTTGCATCTCATTTTTTGGCCACCAGTTAACAAAATGTTTGCCCAGTGGTTCAAATGCCTAATTCCTTCCTCCCTCTTTCTTTATGTACAATCATTGCCCCCCATTTATAACTTATTTTGATCAAACAGCAGTTAGTTCCAGTAGTACTGTCCTGGCAACTGGCCGTCCTGAGACATGCGTGGGGGAGCAGACTGTTTATATTCAGACTGCAGGACGACACGAGAGAAAGACCACATCTTCCCCAGCTGGAGGAGAGGAGAGGCTCCTGTTTTCACTGTAGACTGCTACCCCTGCTGCTGTCTCCACACCCTTCAAGCCACTGGAATCTCACGGGCAGCGATTTTATGTGGTAGATTTAATTTAACGGAGTCAGGACTCCATCCTGCAGTATGATTCTAATTTAAGGGCTTGAATCCTGAAGTCAGGTTGAAGGCTTTTACCACACAAACCCATCTGGAGCCCACAGCTGTTTTTCAAGACATCCACTATGCCACAGTGCTCCATCAGTCCAGTCTTTGCTTAATACTGCCTCAGATGTGTTGAGATCCAATGGTGTCATTTCAGTAAGACAGATTCATTATGTTTATGCTAAGGTTCATTACCTAGTCCATAAAGAGTGTCTTTACACAAAAGTAAGTGGTCTATTGGACAACAGATCCTAATCCA